CTCGCTTCTCTAATCTAGGAAAACGCCGTTCTATCCTTTATTCGTCCGGATCTTCATTTCCAATCAATTTAATGCTACTATTGAAGTGAATGAAGAAAAAATGGTAGTATTAAAGGAACCAAATGGTAAGACAAGAAAGAAAACTTTTTTTTCAGTTGATATATAAAAGTATTGCCAAAAGTTCTGAATTGATTTTTTCGACCTAAAAAAACGGCGCGAGCTTATCCGACAGCTCAATAATATTTCCTCCTCTTTCTTCCTGCCCTATTCCACTCCTTTACTTGGTTGCAAAATGTATTTATTTCCGAGATGTGGTGGAGGTAGGGAGAGTAAGGTAAGGAGAGGGTAGGAATGGGAGGTCGCACATGTGCAACGATGGAGGAAGGAGGTCCGTGAAAGGACTCATCTTTTTCATCAAGCTTCACTGCCCAAACCTTCATTTTTGAATAGAGCTTAGGGATACAGTCTAGCATATAATGATTGTTTAGATCCATGACGGATATTTAGCGTATGTGTCACTTTAAGCAAAATCATCGATGTCGAAGTTAAGTGAGAACTCGAAAAATGAGAATCCATTCAATACAATAATGCGAGTTTTCAGATCATTGTTTATACTGTTTTGCACTCCAAGTTTTAGAAGATTATGCAACTGGCAAAATTTCGAATTGCTCTGAAAAGGCATGTGCGTTGTTGTACTACAGTAAAACATACGATAATTACGATTAATTCATCAAAAAGGGGTTTTCAAAATTTCTGGCACTAGCGAAAATACCACTCTTTATACGAAACTTTATCGCAGAATTACAAAAGGTTGGCTAGACTACATAACTTGTGCTAGTGAGCTTACACTATCACACGATATCATAGTAAAAAAGAGAAATTCAGATGTAGTCCTGCACAGCAAGGCATCTGGCTAATTTATGTTATAGTTATAGTTAGTTGTTATTTTCTCAAATTGACAGAACAGAAAATATAAGATCTGGCGAAGAGTGGGCAAAATTTTGGCCAAGTTTTAAATAAATCTGAAAGCATAATTTTGTGGTAACATAAAGTGTTGTGATGCGTTTTTCTTCTCGATACTTGATAATGAGATTTTCTTATCGAATTCTAGTGAAAAATCATTGAGCGAAATCTCACCTTACAGATATCGTACACAGATACAAGCAGATCATGATAAAATCCAACCAATTCCACCATTGATGAACATATTTGGTGAAACCTTCTTCCCAGAGCTGCTTTATCTCTGACCATAACATTCCTGAAGCGTCAACGTTAAGGCTCCGTAGCTCTTTACAATAACGATGTTAGAGTTATACCAAGCACCCATGCTACAACGAGAACCTCAATGAACGTTGGAGGAGGGCCACGATCGGATGCACGAGTCGTCCCACCACCCTAAAATATCAATGAAAATATTTTTTAAGCTGTTCCTTGCTTCCTTTATTTTTGGTCCATAATGCTGGAATAAGCTCTAGCCTTTGAGAAAGTGAAATTGCCTCAACATTCGATGCTTACGCCATTGGATATATGCCACAATAGCATATTTAAAAATCATTTTAGTCGATATCCCGTTTTAGATTAAAACAGATTTGATTAACAATCTCTTCACTATAAGCATGCCTTTCAAATAGTAAAAGAAATTGCAGACAAAAATTAGAATTGTGATAATAAGTTACTCACTTTTCGTTCTCCTTTTTCGCTACGATAGCTCTCAAATGTTGCCAACGTCAACAACAGAAGGAAACAGCCGAATGATATTGAGTAGTACAGGAACTTCATGAAAGGCGAGCGGACGATGCGACCAATACGACTTTTTGGCATCTGCAACGGAAAACATTGCAAGTTTTGAGAGGATCATACAAAAGAATGATGCAAGATGAAATCAGAACATTTGAAATAAACGCGAATGAAGATGCTTTTTTTCAAACTTTTGAAGTCACAAACAC